ATTTCCACAGCAAAAATCCAGTTAGATTGGTCAATCCAAGATCAACTGTGCCATTACAAGTTTTCCATATCGCTTCGCATGTGATCACAGATGGCACGAATCTTTTTGTCGTCCACCTAGCAATGGATGAGGCTACTAGATTTGTGTTTTTCCGCGCTTCACCCAACCACCAAACAGTCGTCTCAAACAACATTAATCAACGCAGATCAGATGTGGACGTCATTGCCAAAGAAATGGCATTTTTAGCATTGATCCAGGACATCTGCTACAGACGAGTGCCAACTCTTCTTATCCACGACAGCTGCGAAATGTTCCGCAGACAAAACATAAAAGTGTCTCTCACCGAACTTGGGATTAGACACAACATCGCCAGTGTCGCTCAACGCGACTTCAACAATTACTTCAAAGCAATTTTCCGTTGCATCAAAAAGCGCCGCCAACAGTTCCCGAATGAATCGGTGCACAGTTCGGTGAAAGTAGTGCAAGATGGCTATAACAGATCCACCCAATCGCTGATTTGGGCAACGCCAAATAATCTGTTCCACTCTCACTACAATATTCGCGCAGACATGCTAATGGACGTGCCAAACGGTCCACAGCAACGCCTTGAGACTTCAGAAATAGGCTCTTTTCCAAGAGTCCATTCTAGCCTACTCCCGATCGACCAAGTGGTCGACATGGTTGTCAACCGCCCACCTATTGCCGTCCCAAACATTCAGCAGGCAATTAAGGACCGCCAACAAATAGGACGAACACAACAGCAGCTCCGACAGCAACGTGATCACTATCTTCGACTTCGATATGGGAGCTTATGAATCAGCGACTTCACCAGTTCCAGATGCAATTTCGCGCCCAACTTCCTGATAACGATTACGCGCGCCCACAAGTTAGCATGCGCCCTCATGCTAGCTAGACGTTCCAGGACAACGGAGCACAATACGTGGCACCTCAGTGCATGGGTAGTCCTATTCACCCACCTATTGCTAGCATTTCTCAGCAAGCCGCAGCTAGACTCCAGCTCCAGCATCAGACACAACAGAGAGTAACTTCTTCAGTCCCGCTTTCGCTTTACGAGAGGCTGACTCAAGTGAGTGCCGCCCTCACACGACCATCTCAAACTGCCCCAGACCGCCCACCAGATTTTCCGCAGTTACCACCGCTGTACGCCCAACCATCACGGCCCTCGATGTCTGGACAATTTCAGCATGGCCCTTCATCACAGCTGCAACAGCTGCCTGTCTCTAGTGCGTTCCATTATGTTCCATCAACTTCGCATCGAATGTACACGACAGCGCCACCCCAATCAGCTCCACCACCACGCCCACAGACCTCTATGGCAACGCCGTCGCAGCATGCCCAAATGCTACCACCGCAGACTCCCATGACAATACCGTCACAGCACACTCAAATGCTGCCGCCACAGTCTTCTTTGGCAAGGCCGCCTCAGTATGGCCCACTGCCCTCTCAAGTGCCACCATACCCGCCGCCGCCTTATGGAGCTACCCGCACAACCACCTATTACTGGCCTCAACAGTACGAGCAACGACAGCCTCAGTACGTTCACCGACCACAGGCTACGTATGCACAAGCAGTGCGTCACCAACCGTATCCACGGCCTACCCAAATGCAGCCACAGCAATGGGCTACATATCGGCAACACCAGTTCGTACAGCCTCGCCCACCGCCACCGCTGCAACAGGGAGTTTCCCAATTGCCAGCGCAGCAAGTCGCATCTTCGACGCAGACTGTACAAAGTCAAGCACAGCAGAGTACTACTCAACAGCCGATACAGCAGTCACTGCAGAACCCACTGCCAGTACAGCAACAGGAATCTCCACAGCCCCAGCCAACAACCTCTAAAGCAGGGAGGCCTGGCACGGGAGCACGGAAACGACAAGTGACTCCAAGACGGAAACCGACAAAACAGGATAAACAGCCAAAGACCACCAAACAGAATCCTGTAACAGAAGGCCCTCTTCGACTGGACAGCTATGAAAAGTACCGCGCAGACAAAGAGAACAAATTACTACGAAAAAGAGTCAATACCACGGAATACTTTGTAACTCCAGACGTTGTACAGGATCATAATCACACGAACCTGTTGGAGGTGCAGAAACGACTCCCTCCTTACCAAGACTCTACTCAAAAGGAGAAACAACGCAGAATGGAGATAGAAGGCGCGCTCCAACAACAAGCGAGCGAAATTCTAGCATCAGCCTACAGGCAAACATCGGCAGAACGCTCCAGATACGCTATCTCTCCTTTACTGCCACAAACGACACCAGCAATCAGTTATCAGACAAAAGCCTGGATCTTTGAGCACGCAAGAAGCTCCCCTGTTCCCACAGACTCGGATCTTTCACTGATTCAACCACCAGCTCAACCAGCAGCAACACCAGCAACACCAAACACTGCACTTGTGCAGTCAACATCTCAAACTAAAAACTCTGCTTCTTCAAGCACACAATCAGTGCCCGAACACAGTAATTGAGTCCTTACTAGCAGCCTCTTCGTCCCAGTCTCCTCATGCAGACCCCTTTGTTTCGGACAGAGAGAGGGAGAAAGCTAAAACAACTGCTGACAGGACCAGTTACGTGGACTATTTGCAGCTAGTTTATGCCGACAAAAATCAATCAGCGCCGCAATCACTAAAATTAGCAGCCACATTTCAGGCCGACGCGCCTGTCCAACAAGTTGCTGCCACGCAACAGCAGCAGCAACAACAGCAACAGCAGCACACTGCTGCAACCGAACATTCACCAGCCGAACTGTCGCAGCAACAGAGCGCAGCTCCTTCGCCAACCACTACTGAACAACAGAGAGAGAGCAAAGCCCAGCTCACCTTGAATGCAGCACAGCTAGCACAGAACCTGCTGCTGATCAACTGCCGCAAAACGCCGCATTGCAGCAGCCTGCCGCAGCTCAGCCACAGCTTAGCCATGCAGCTTCTGAGAACAACGTAATTTTATTGTCACCCCAAAGCGCTGCAGCTCCACTTCAAACGGTTGCGCAGCAACAGCAAGGACAATCGCACACTGCAGTCCAATCACAGCGACAAACTGCAGTGCCTCAACAGAGTAACGAGGTCACACCGGCACCACTTCAAGGAGAAAGTTCACCTGAACACGGTGTGATGCCTGAACAACAGCAACGCAGTCCGACAATGCCTGAGTACCACCGCCTCAGATTAGCTTCCCGGAATCCGACTACTGTCTACCCGACCCCAGTGGATGTTCCAATGAAATTCCCTTTACACCTTGAGACACAGGATCCGACAGTCAGTTCTGTAAGAACTTTGAGTTCTCCTGTACCCCCTGGAATTAGTCGGTTCCCTTCTTCAGCCCTTCCTATTCAAACCCCTTTGCATGCTAATGCATCCCCAACTATTTCGCTTAACACAAAGAGATTGCCTATTGTCTCTTTGTCGGAGGTGCCATCCTCTGACAATTCTGTGGTCCAGCAATCTGCCCTAGCATGCCCATCTAAAAGCAGTACAATCGGTTCTAATGCTCAAACATTTTCCACAGCCTCCAACAAGAAAGAGCACGCTCCGCCCTCACCGCCAGTAACGAGTGTTCGTTCTGCTCGACCGCAAACTCGCAGCCGTCCTCCAGCAACTCCAGCTGAACATCGCAGCTATAACACGCGCAGCAGAACTCCAGCGACAGCCGCCAACCCTCTTGCGCAGAAGAGTGACACTTCTGGCTTAATTGGGGGGAATAATCTGCGAGCAGATAAGAAATCGGCGCCGCTGTCACCCAACGATGAATTGCCTGTACCTGCTTCCCCAATGTCAACTTTTCGACGAGTCGCCTCTACTCGCAGAGACACAACCAAGCCAGCTGTCACCACAGCCTCTCACGTTTCTCACACTGAACCGACTGCTCAGTCGACAGCACACACCGCAGCTTCATCAACCAGACGTGCTGACGTCCGGATTGCTGCCATCTTCAGACGTGCTAATCTCCCTGTTGAGTTCACGGTCAGAAATCAGACACTGACTGGAATATTGGACTCCGGCGCCAATGTAAACATGATGCCGTACAAAACAGCGGAGAAGCTAAACTTGATTCAATACCCTATCGTTTATGAGCTCAATCAGTTATTGGGCAGTGTCTCTATCA